CTGATTTATAGATGTGGAAACTGAGGCACACAGAGGTTGAGTCCTTTGCCCAAAGTCACACAGCTAGCGAGGTCAGAAACCCAGGCGGCCCTGAACCTGAGCGCTGAACACGGACACGAAGCTGCAGACCTATGGGATGGGTGTTGGAGAACTGAGCCCAGGTGATTCCTCAGGGTCCATCAGGAAGCTTCAGGAAGGGCTCAGACAGCCCTCCGTGCCAGGAGGTCGAACCACCTCCAGCCCACTGCAGCAGGTCGTCTCTCTCCCCTGGTCCCTCAGCTCCTTCCCTGAATCGTCCCTGCCCCCGGCAGTGTCTTAAAACATGTTGGAAACATTAACTGGTCCCCTGCTATTCGTCCTCGCTGGTGTTGGCTCAGACAGTGCAGTTTAGATATCTTTCCAAGGGCAGACAGCGGGTCAGTGAGAGTCGATAATGGATTCCAGCAGATAGGACACCGATCAGATGGAATGCGAGCCTGGCGTCCACCTCCTCCTCGTGCGCTAGCAGCGGCTGGGCGCTGCCCCCAGGGAGGGGCCTGGGCCCCGGGGCACCTGGGGGACTCAGCAGGCGGGTGGTCAGGGCTGATCTCCTGGCCACTCAGGCTCTCTGGGCATCTTCCCTTGTCAGCATGCCCTCCCATGCCTGCTGGTTCTTGGAAACTCACCGGGCTGGGGCTGTCTTTTTGTTCCCTGCTGCATTCACTGCAACAGTGCCAGCCCATAGTAGGTGCACAACAGGGTATTTGTTGAATGAAGCATCGGTAGTTCCTGTCCAGAGCATTATTTGGCTGACACGTGGGCCCCCTGGGCTCCAGTCTCGTCTCCCCATCTGCTTCTTGGATGTCTTCACTGGACGTTGCACGTTTAACGTGCCAGGAGCTGCCGAAAGCCGCTCAACTCCCATCTCCCACCTCGGCGCCTGGGAGCCCCCTCCTTCCGGCTGCTCAGGACAGGATCCTCAGAGCCCGTGCGGACACCCTCTTTTTTCACGCCACATGTTCATCCAAGACACAGTTGCTCTCAGCTCTGCCTTCAAAACAGACCAGGAAGGCAGTGGCTTCTCCCCACCCTGCCTGCTGTCTCTTTCCTGCAGTCTCGCCTGGACCATCCTTGCTTCCACCCTTTTCCCCACCAAAGAACATTCTCATGCTTTAGCCAGAGCTGTTCTAGAACGTAAGTCAGATGACGTCGCTCCTGCACGCACACCTCCGCCTCACTGTGAAGGCCCAGGTCCTCCCCGAGGCCTGGGAGGCCTGGCGCTCACCACCGTGTTCATTCCAGGCTCCCTGTGCTTCCTCAGACACGCCAGGCACACGCCCAACTGGCCTGTGTCCTGCTTCCCCAGATACACTCGTGGTTAGCTTCTGAGGACTCACTTGTGATGCTTTGAGGATTAATGAGTTAACATGTGAAAAGCATTTAGGGCAGTGCCTGGCTCATTAGCTTTTAGTTACTGCTGCGTTCTTACCGTGGATGCTCGGGGTCTAATTCGTAGCAGACACTCAGGTTGGTCAATGGGCTACATGTCCAGGGCCTGGCCCAGTGCCTTGCACCAAGTGGGAACTCAAAGGTTTGTTGAACTGAAAATGTAGAGGTGAGGCAGTGCACACCCCGCCTGGTCCAGGCCATGAGAACTGAACAGTTTGAAAAACAGTTGGGAGCCCATCATTTCTGTGTCCTCTGAGGCAAGATCTCCTGCCTGCCCTCGCTGCTCCACCAGCCTGGGGAACTACCCCTGCTTGGGTCCCTTCCCCAGGGCCTAACCCTTACTTCCCGGCTCCAAGCTCAGACATCAAGAAAGCCAGGGATAAGGTCTCCTGGCGGGAATTGAACCCCTGACCCAGCTGATGGGGTGGCTGAGACCATGGGGAAGGTGAGCAAGGGGTAAGGTCTCCTGGCAGGAATTGAACCCCTGACCCAGCTGATGGGGTGGCTGAGACCATGGGGAAAGTGAGCCAGGGATAAGGTCTCCTGGCGGGAATTGAACCCCTGACCCAGCTGATGGGGTGGCTGAGACCGTGGGGAAAGTGAGCAGGTGACCAGATGGAGGCGGCTTCCCCTGCAGAGATGATCCCTTTGTGCCGGGCTTGACTGCCATCACCTTGGGCGCTCAGGCTCTGCCCAAGCATTCTGGGAATTGCCGATGGTCAGGGAAGGGGGGCGTTGGGACCTTCTGCCTCGGCTGTCACCGCTTCTGGCCTTTCCTTTCTTGACGCCTCCACTGGAAGCTTTTGCGCCAGAGTCTGAAGATGAAGGCTGTGGCCCGAGTCTCTCTTGGTCTCTCTCCAGGCCAGAAAAACCTTGTGAATCAGCTCTCTGTTTAGAGTAGCTTCTAATTTGAAGCAGCTGCTGTCCCCAAGCAGAACCACTCTGTTGGTGTCCCAGAACGCCAGCCTTCAGAGGTCTCCGCTGGTTAATGTGACCTTGGCTGTTTGTTCCTGAGGTACAGAGGGAAATGGAAGGCTGTTGTGTCCCCTCCCAGGGCCCCCTCGTCCCCTAGGACCACCCCGAGAGGCACGCAGAGCTGCACGCCCAGCTTCAACCGCAGGGCACCCGGTAGGGGGTATTCAGTGCATGAGAGTTTCTGCCCGTTCATGTTCCATGTGCCCCAGTGTGTTGGAAAACAAACGCATGGAAACTGCTTATAAATAAAACTACACCATGAAACTGCCCTCCTACTCGGAGGAGCTGACCCAGCTGTTTGTCAGAGAAGCATCTCTGCTGCTGATGCACAACACGCCCTTTTTAGGCAAAACAAAGAACAACACTCTGTGCCCACGGAGCTTGCCTTTGGAAGGATCTTGGTGTGGGTCATCTGGTTTCTGCAACGTTCTTATTTTTAAAAAATTTTATTGAAGTATTGTTGGTCTACAGTGTTGTGTTAACTTGTGCTGTGGAGCAAAGTGACTCAGTTATACATATATGTATTCTTGTTCATATTCTTTTCCATTATGGTTTATCGCAGGATATTGAATATAGTTCCCTGTGCTATACAGTAGGACCTTGGTATCTATCCATCCTATAGATAATAGTTTGCCTCTGCTAGTCCCAAACTTGCAGTCCTTCCCTTCCCCCTCTCACCTCCCCCTTGGCAGCCACAAGTCTGTCCTCTATGTCTGTGAGTCTGTTTTTGTTTTGTAGATATGTTCATTTGTGTTGTAGTTTAGATTCCACATATAAGTGATATCATATGGTATTTATCTTTCTCTTTCTGACTTACTTCGCTTAGTATGCAACATTCTTATTTTGTGAGTGAAAGCATCATGGTGGGTTTGAAGTCAGGGAGACCCAGGTTTCAGCTCCAAATCTGTCACTTACTCACTGCATTTATTATGTCTTTCTGAGCCTTCATCGTATCATCTCTAAAATGGGAATGATAATACACACCTTGCACAGTTTCTGAGAGCACTAGAGACCATGTTGGTACAGAGCCCAGAGCATGGCAGGTGCGCAGGAAATGGGAGTGTTATTGACCCATGCAACAGCTATTTATTTTGAGCACCAGTTGTGTACTAGCTAGGGAATAAAAATGGCCCTTGTAGAATTAACATTCTAGATGAGGAGCCAGGTAACCAGGTAAACAAGTCAAATAGGTAAGTCGGGAGGGAGGGCTGCAGTTTAAATAGTGTGTGCAGGGCAGACTTGCTGAATAGATGGCGTTTAAGCAAGAATCTAAGGCAGAGAGGGAGCTGACCAGGCAGAGAGGGAGCTGGCCATGCAGACAGCCCTGGAGAAGCAATGCCAGCCTCGAGGGGGAGGCTTGCCCACCATCTTTGCTGCTTTTGACGTGAGCTTTCCTACACGTGTTCTCTGAGCCCCATTGCCTGGCCTTCTGCCCCTTCATTTCTGAGCCTTACTGAGCAATCGAACCACCCTCCACAAGATTGACTGTGTCTTCAGGGAGTTTGTCTTAATAACAGAATTAATCAGACCAAACGTTATTTTATTTTAACATCTTTATTGGAGTATAATTGCTTTACAGTGGTGTGTTGGTTTCTGCTGTATAACAAAGTGAGTCAGCTATATGTATACATACATCCCCATATCTCCTCCCTCTTGCGTCTCCCTATCCCACCCCTCCAGGCGGTCACAAAGCACCGAGCTGATCTCCCTGTGCTATGCGGCTGCTTCCCACCAGCTATCTGTTTTACATTTGGTAGTGTATATATGTCCGTGCCACTCTCTCACTTTGTCCCAGTTACTCTTCCCCCTCCCCGTGTCCTCAAGTCCATTCTCTATGTCTGTGTGTAAGTCAGAAAGAGAAAAACAAATACCGTATGCTAACACATATATATGGAATCCAAATGTTATTTTGAAATGTTCCAGGGAAAGAATGACTATGAGCCAGTGTAGGGCTGCCAAATTCTAATATGGAGCACTTGGGGCAACATGCAGCTAAAAGGCGAGGGGAGAGCAGGGC